TCAAGTACATCCACAAAACATTTATCACTTTAAACTATAGCAAAAACTTTTCCTTTGAAAGGACTTCTTTTCTCTTTCTAGGAAGGCTGTACTAGCTCCTTTCCCCACAGGCTCACCACGAAAGCTGTGTAAAGAAAAGTGGCTCCTGTGGCCGCTAAAGAAAACAACTGAACCAGACAGGCATTTGCTGAGAGCTCAACCTGGAGTTTGTGCCAGAGTGAGTACACAAGCATTACTGAGAAGCTTCTTTCTTCTGTCAGACATCAGAATTGTTTTCTTTTCTGACCACAGGCAGGGGGTGCTTGGAGTGTGCCAGAAGCCGTGAGTTAGAGGATATTGGATAGTTATGGCAGCGTGTGCTCTCGGAGAACACTCCGTGAGCACGAAGCCGCATGCGGGGGAGGCAGGGTAAATGTCACTGCATTTGCTGAGGCTGAAGTCAGGGCTGCTTTCCAGCCAGCAAGCTCACATTTTACCTCTGCAGTGTGCTGCCATTGCAGCACTGGCTGGTTTTCACCATTAGCTAATAACTTTCTGCATTGCAGGTCTGCACCCATGCAATTTTGTTGCATTTATACCTTCCTCTCCTAAGAGAAAATTTCAGAACTTACTTCCTGTGAGGCACACAATTGTAGAAAATAGCCTTCTTCTGCAGCTGGAACCAGCAGGGGTTTTTCTAATGCAGCAAGGGAAGAGTGTGCAGATTCCATAAGGACCCTCACCCCCAGGCTGTGCAGTGGAGGGAAAGGTGGTATCTCTTGCTAACATGCATTGTCAGAAGGAGCTTGGCCAGAGGTCGCCTTCCTGTTTCTGACGATAGAAAGATTTGTATCATGTGTGAAGTTATTATGAAATCCAAACCCAGACGATGAGAAGAAACCCTAATTTTTAGCAGCTCAGAGGAACACTAAGAAGCATTTTTATTAACTTACATATTCTATGTCTCATCATCTATGAAAAGCCGTATGAAAGGAAAATGAGTGTCACATCTCAAAGAGTTGTGCTGCTGTAGTGTAGGAGTCCAGATGTTGATGTGCCCAGACAACTGTGTAACTAGGTGTGGAACTTTTGGCCTGTAAAATTGTGATTATGAAAAGGAAACATATGGAAGACTGCCCTTTAAAATTCTGAGGGGGCACTGGTGTGTTTCTGAACTGATGTCATAAAATAAAATTATCCACAAACAACCACAGTTTGTAGCTTACTTGTCCTAGTATTTAATACTGCAGAATCTGGAAATGCTTTATACTTCCAAATAGCAAGCTCCTGCTTCAGTTATTGTTGTGGATTTGAAAGTCTAACTTTGGAGATACAAGTCTGAAGGTGTGTGGAGATTCTAAAGCAATGAAAATATATCCTGTGGGAAGCCAAAAGTAACTATGGTCAGGACAGATATCTGATCTTACTGGTGTAGTTTTGAAGTAAAGATATATAATCTTCAAGATCTAGCTGAAAATGTAAGTAGTTATGTAACTGAATACTAAAATTTTTTGTAATTATACTGTTTGTTCTTTGGTAATTGTGGTTTAATACTCCTAACATAAAATAATGAAATAATAGAATTTAAAATATAAAACAGTGAGATATTGAAGGTTCCCATTGCTACTATTTCTTTTCATAGGTTTCCTGCCCTGATAAAATATTGAACAGTTTGTGAGTATAGCTTTTTTGCTTTTGAATGTTGCTGTGAATTTGTAAGGTGAGTGTAGCTGCTACCCAAGGATACTCAATGGAGGTTAATTAAGAGAAGCTGGGCCAGGTCACCTGGACCCTGAATGTTCAAGTAATTCACAATATGAACTTGTTAACCTGAAGTTATTGTATCTGAATACCTTATAGTTGTCATGAAAAAAAATCCAACAAAAACTAGTCTCTTTTAATATCTCAGCACGTTCATTAGGTTGTTACTCAGCATAAACACCATTTTAATAAAATGTACTATTACATACTTACTGATGTGTTTGTCAATATTTCACACAGAACTGTGATGAATCATTGCAACTACTCTTATTATGCAAAATAATTTAATGAGGCACATCTGTTAAAGCAGTTTTTGATTTTTTTAAAAAATCCGCTTATTTGCTTTCTTAGAAAATCACTTTCGTAAATGTGCAGAATCTTTTCCTTTAATTAATTCAAAATAGATGCGGAAGGAAATTATCTTTCAGATATATTTCCTTTTGCTCTAAACTATGCCTTTGGTTTAACAAAGGGAATTTACCTTATTACTTCAGAAGGGTATGCTGTGTGTTTTTCCACGAGTTCACACAAATACTTTGTGCATTAGTGTAATAGAAGCATGTGGCATGCTTAACCTTTGGGCCAGTTTTTACCTTGGAGCACCAGGAAATTAGTAATTAGTTATCTGTCACTTAAAAGGAGAGGGAAAGGATATGTCCATCTCATTGTAATGTGCCATTTCCTCAACTTTTTACATTCTCTTTGGAGGGAAAATCCATGAAGTGTGAATCTGACATAAAAATACCAACTCCTTACAGTCTGTGGCTCAGACAGATAAGAGTTGAATATTATGTTATTCCATATTTCTATGGAGTGTCCACAGTCATAGCATAGACATGTTAGAGGTGCTTGTAAAATAGTTTTAATACTGCATATCTAAATCTGTAACCTGAAACAATGATGCAATAACTGCTTTCTATATAATTGAGCAATTTTAAAGAGTCTTACTTAAAATTAAACTACCATTAGAAACATCTTCATTCTTTGTAGACTTGATGCTGTATTACACCTTGCCAAGAGTGGTTTAAGGAAAAGTCACTTTGACCATTCAGGGAGTACAAAAGAGGAAGAACAGTAGGCTTTTGTTTTATCAATTTTAGGTAAACATGAATAATTGAACCACAGGATAATTCCTCTCAACCTGACAGGTTTTTTCCTTGTTTTTTTCCTTCATGATTGTTGACATTTATTTATTTCTTCTACTGGTTTTCTTAAACAACTTAGTGTCTTTCTTAATTGCGCTGCACCTTATACAATTAGTTTGAATGGTGACAAGGGTGATGTGTGTCAGTGGCTTTCCAGGCTCTTAAGATGTCATAAAACAGTGTTTTATGGATGGTAGTTTCTGTGTATAGATCCAGTGTCTTGGAGTTTGGGTTTCAGAGACCAGTGGTTTTCAATATTGCATAGTTTTATGTTCTTCTAACTAAAAAGACATTTTGGCTAGCTGGTTTTGTGATGCCTGGAGGTTCATAAGCTTCTCTTGTGCTTTCCTTTGTCACAGGGCCACATTAATTTTGGGAATAGAGATGTCAGTGTGGAGAAAATAAATACTAGTATTTACTTATTAAGTAAAAATTTATCCAGTCTCATTAAGTTATTCAAAATTTCACTAAAGGACAGATTTTTTCTTAAGTTAACTTCTTCTGCTCTGATCTCTTACTTGGCTGTTTTTTTTTGTACTATTACAAGAAAATATAGATAGGAAGGTGTTTTGTTTAATTTGGAAATAAAAACTAAACTGATATATGCAAAATTCTCTCAGAGAAACTCTGACTATTAAAAAAATAATCCCTCTTAGCAGTTTTTTACATATATACTTTATTTTTCATTTAGTGTACTCTGTCCTGTAGATCTGGTGTGATAGCTGGCAACTTTAATGACTGCTTCTTCAAAAAGATGATTGTTTGCAGAGTCTAAAATGTCGTTTTCCTTACAGCCATAGGTAGATGTGATGGGAAGAGGATGAAAGTAGGGTGTTTCCAAATTAGCAGTATAGGTGTGCACCCTTAAAGCCTGCAGTTACTGTGACAGAGTGCCAGGGTACAAAATTCAGAGGATCTGAGGATCCTTTCCAAAAGTTCATCATTACTCAAACAGACTAATAAGCAGGTATGGAACAGTGGAGTGCTCAAGGTAGATAAAGTATAACAGCATTTGCTGCTGTTTCTGTTCTTCTGGGTTCTTTCCTCAGATAGTCTCAATAGCCCATGTCCCGGGGTTAGCAGTATTTTTCTAATTAAATAGAATTTCAAAGACAAATGCCACTCTCTTAATGCCAAAATTTGTCACAGACAGGATTTCTTACAATAGACAGATAGACCAATAAGAAGAAAGGTTAGCTGCTGAAGCATTCTTTTGGCTCTGTAAACAGCAGAGTGCCTCAACTCCCACTGGCTTTGCTAACATTAAGGCTATTCAGCAGCTGTAAAATTTACTAGAAGTCTCAGACCCAAGTCTGGGAACCACTCAGGAGTGGCAGTATGTTACAGATTTGTTACCAGTGTGTGGCTTAAAAATGCTGGGTTTGGACTTTAATCCATTGTCATCCTTGTGAAGCGCCAGTCCCATAAGTATTCAACTGTTCGACTGGTCCAGGTTACTAAATTCATATAGCCAACCTAAAATCATCTTGAGCATCTCAAACTATGTTCCCAGTCCCTCATTTTCAATATTTTTTAATGTTTGGTGATACATTAAGGCCTGGTTCATCAAGCATGTTCTTTTAACTTTTTTTTAACCTTTGAGAAGACAGTATCAGTTTTCTGACTAATAGTGTAGGACTAATATGCTGTGTTCCACTGTGCTGGTATTCTCCAAAATCTATGTACTCTAGATGTAGAATTCCTCAAAAGGAATGTGACTTGAGCTTGCTTCTTAAGCTCAGAACAAAAAAACAGTCCAGAGAAATACAAAATATCTTTCTAGGGAAGCTGTAATGTCTACAGTAATTTTCAGTAGTCTTCAGAAGACATTTTATAGAGTGGAGAATCCACAGATTCCCAGAGAAATTATGGAGGACACAGACGTCTGGGACCTATGAACTTAATTGTATTTGTTCTTTCCCAGACATCTCATCTCTTTCCATGTATCTGATGTGCCTTGCCCATGATAATTTTGTTTTGTGTTTAGTGCTCTGCTGGAGAGTGAGCTGAGACCTTCCTGCGACGTGTCCCCTAAGTTAGGTCTCTTTACTAGTAAGAAATTGCTATAAACAATTGTGGTTGTTTTTAATGACTGCAAGTTTCTTTCCATACCAGGTGATGCAGATGTACCTCCCCTTCTGTGGGATTGCCATATCCAATGCCCAGCTATTCGCAGCTTCAAGGAAGGAATATGACAGAAGCAGGGTAAGTGCAAAATGTGTAGTGGACCAACATCAAACTTTTGTCTTTTTTCCTGCAGGTCCCAGCTCTGCATATGTGTTTGCTAAGCACACAGTTTTATTTCAAAAACTATATTTTCAAAAGATCCCTGTCTTGATTGAGGCAGCAGAAGAGAAGAAGCAGAAGAGTGTAGGAGGGAAATACACTTGTAGTAGTGGCTGTGGTTTCCTGATGTCAGTTCCACATTCTGTGGTGCTGAAACAATTACATTTGTGGCACAGACGTAATGCATTTTCTCTTTTTGAACCTGGTCTTACAAGCTCTCAGAGATAAGCATTACACCCTTGATAGTTCAGCTACCTCAGGTGGCATAAAAGAAGCAGGATGGCTCCTGTAACAGCATTGGAAACCAAAAGTTTTAATAAAAGGCAAAAATAAAAAAGCTCTTTACACAGAAAAGCCGAGTCAGGGCAAGAGGTTCTTGCTCCTGCTAAACCACTTCACAAAAGCAATTTACTTCTTTTGTTCTCTTCTTTTCTAGGGAATTGCTTAGGCTGGACTTTTTGGCTCCTGTCCAATTAGGTATCCTTAAGTTTGAGGTGAAATCCCCAAGGTCCTATGAGGTGTCTTTTAACCAAATTGAGGAGAGAAACTTCTGTGTTTTTTTCCTTTTTAAGGGGACAAAGGGTAACTTGGTTACCCCGTCAACAGGGGACACATTCCTACACAGATGGTGCAGGAGAAAGTGTTTCTTAGGCAGAGATTCAATCTCTCATAAAATTCTACTAATCTCAAGCCTTTGCATTCTGAATTTTTAATATTCACTTCATGTGCAAATGATGTGGATATATCTTTATAAAATTAAGCAAGAACAAAACCCCATATGTGAAGGGTTTTGACAGCATGTCTCCATAGAGTACACATTCATGATCACTGGTGCCATGCATGCATTGGGACAGGAGGCTCTGAAGTGAAAATAATGCTGATCTCCCCTGTCATTCCCTTGACAGACAGGTCTTTTATTTTTTGAAGAAACCAAATGGTAATTTTGATGGGTTTTTAATAATAGTTGCCTCTTTTTATCATCCTTTTCTGCAATGACATGAAATTATATTTTTGTTAGTTTGGATCACAGGTACAAAGCTTCAGTAGAAATATCTTTGGTAGTGTTGAATGTGCTCTTGCTTCACAAAATATTAAAAATTTGTGTCAATTTTGTTGCCATAGTCATTAAGAACTTCATTTGAATGAAGATTTCAATGTATCACTCTTATAAAATCAATCCCAGATATGATGCCTCGTTTGCCATGCACCATGTATTTATTAATTCTACAACCAATACAAGAGTTTTCTGTCCTTGTATACAGGCTTTACTGGAGGTAGTGAATGACCTCTTTGAGGAACAGACTGACTTAGAGAAAATTGTCAAGAAAATTATGCATCGGGCTCAGACTCTACTGAAGTGTGAACGGTGCTCAGTATTACTTCTGGAAGATATTGAATCACCAGTAAGTAGAGATGCATGTCATATGTAAGTACAGGACTGCAGGTGTTTTTCAGTGTGTTGTTCCTAAATGTAAGTTAGGTACGTGTTGAAACTTTAGCAACACCCCTGTTGTGTCTCTACCCCAGCAGGCTTGTATTGTGATAGCAGTAAGCTCTTACATTGAGCAGGGGAAATGGAAATCCAGCTGTATTGTATGTATTCTACTTGCCCCATGAATAATTATTTCATTGCAGAGCTCTGTTGAACAGATGGATGTAAACTGAATTAAAGTATTTGATTGTTTTGACAGGGGCTTTCACTGGTACTTCGCAGTACTGATATTCATAGGGTGTGAGAGCCTTTTAAAAAATGTTTAAATTTTTTATTAATATTGTTATTAGTAATAAATTAAGTGGCTGCCTTTATATTGGTAGCTCCTCCAGTGTTTTCAGGCTGTTCAATATAAGCTACCCTTCTTTCTACTGATTTGAGAAGTAATTGAAGGATAAAACATTGTTTGTAATATCTTTTTTTTCCTACCCAATTATTATTTTTGTATTCACTGATTCTGCAGTTAATTATTTGTTGCTTGGCTGTGACACGTCAGTGACAGAATTGTAAATTTGTTTGTATGGCAGAAAAAAATCCCCATTCTTTTCCTTGGAGGAAAGATATGATTCACATTTCATTTCAGTTAATAAATATTAAGAATTTTCAATGGAATATGTCCTAAATTATACCAGCTTTCCAAAAAGCAAGACGAAGAGTTTTATTTCACTTACATTCTCTGCTATAGTATTTTAATGTTTGTAGTTCATTTTCTTTTTCTAGATTCCCCTAGCCACCTCCCTCCCCAATTTTATAATTACAATATATAGTACATTCTTATGAAATGTCACTGTGTTTATAAGTATAATATGATTTTTTTTTTCACAAAAAATGTCCATTGTGTTAGGAAGTTGTGGGTGGAAGTTCATATTTCTGCTCTTGGTACTATTTCTGCCTTTGAGCTGGGAGGGGCTTTTGCCAAACCACAAGAAATGAGTTCTTATTCCTCTAGACAAAATTGTGAAATATGGACAAAAAGCTTAAACTTTTTCTAAATAGTCATAATTCTTAGGTTCATTTGGAGTAGGAGAATAGCATCTTATCACCCACTTGGTAATTTTTACAAGTGGCAAAACAATTATTTTCTTGAATTTCTCCTTTTTTGGAGGGTTAACATATATATCATATATATTGTCAACATATATATCATATATATGTTGATATCATATATATCAACATATATATTCCTTAGAGTAACTCAGTGTCTAACCATGTCTAAAATACTGTCATTTGTACGTTGTGCAGAAAGCTTTTATGATTCAAAGCCAAAGTGAAGATGGGGACACATCCAAAACCATGGCCTCTCTTCTGTGTCACTTTTTGCCACTCCCAAGACGTTTCACTTATGTGCTCCTGACACATATGTTCAAGTGTGATTGGTTGCAGTTAGTAATGCAAAGCTGCCTTTCTGTTTATTTTCCCATATTAAGAAAGTGAAGTGTGAGTAAAATTCCCTACTACATGTCCCAAAAGCCTTTAAAGGGAAGTATATACGCTTGTGGAAAATAGTTTTCTGAAGGAAACTGAAGATATTTGATTTGATATTGATTTTCAGGGAACTGTGCACAGCATGTATTTTAAACCTGAATTCTACATTGAGAGAATACAGATTTGTACTTTTATCCTAAGACTGTTGGATAAAAATACAGTTTAAGTAGAGGAACTAAATTTATGTTACTGTTTTTTAGATGTATATTAATCTTAATTACAATCCTAAATTACTTCTTTTCTGACAGGTGGTGAAATTTACAAAGTCTTTCGAATTGTTATCTCCAAAATGCAGTGCTGATACTGACAACAGGTTAGTGCTCCTGTCTTCTGTGGTTATGGATAACTACATTTTTCACATAATTTTAAGATTTTTCTTGGTCAAGATTTTATTTTCTTATGGAACTTTGTATAGATTTGATTGAAGAGTGTAAGCCTACGTTTTTTACTCAGACAAGACGCTTGCTTCAAGTGGAGGCTTGCTTGAATAAATATATGTGCCTATATTTTTTTATATATGTATGTTAGTGTGTATATATGCACTAATGTTGTATCAGTGTCTCAGGCAGGAAACCAGGGGAAAACTGACTTTTTAAGAATGAACTCACTGATAACATGCAGTTGTTGTTTTGTGCAATTAATATAGAAGTAAAATTTACAAAATTATTTTAGCTTGTTATCTCTTACAAAATTCCTCTTTACAGTTGTGTTGAGAGGTTTCCAGTAAAATTGTATTTCTGCTGTTGTCAAATTGGAAAGCCTAGAAACCACAGAGCATGTGTATTTCCTAGAAACTGTGTTCCTATGACTAAATCTTGTTTGGGAGCCCAGTCAAAATGGAAGTATATGTTTTGCTTAGTAGGATCTGTAAACATTTATAAAGAGCCACTTTTAAGTGGTAAAAGAAAGATGTTTGTTCATGTGGGGTTGTTATATCAATCCCTGCAAGGTTGCACCACTGGCAGCAGTTCACATAAAATGTCCTATATAGCAAATGAGGGCATGAGGATTCAGGGCTACTGTGAGAACATTTCTTCCATCTTTCAGGGCTCAGTGTTTACCACATAGGTTTTATGCAGATTAATTCATACTGATTCTGAAGGAGAATCTTCCATATCAAATGGCTGTCATGGTGATAAACCTTTTCATGGATGGATTTCGCAGCATTAGAAAAATGGGTAGTGTTAGAAAATTTCTAAGATATGCAAGCTCACAGCAGAGTCTAGGGCCACACAGAAATATGGGTAGAAGCTATCTCCCTTCCATGTCCTGGTGTGGGAATGGTGAAGCAAATGGAAAACAAGAAATAAATAATAGGAAGATTTAAATATGAATAAATAATCTGTTGATTCATCTGGGAATCACAAGTTACTGCTTTTGACAAAGTTTCAGAGTAGCAGTTGGTCTTTCCTAGGGGGTGAAAATACATTTCTTTTATTCAGGGACAGAAGCATGAATCAAGGAATGTGGTTGTTATTCCTGTTTTTCTCAAACTTGATCTGTAGCCAGATTAGTCAAAACAATGTAGAGTGGTATCAAGATAACCAAGCTGGCTCATTTCTTGTTACCATAGTTATATTAGCATGTTGCCACAAAGCAGTTTGTAGTAGCCTGCTCTGCTTGTAGTCAAAATTATTTTAACTTTAGTCCAAGACATGAATAAACACATAACTGGTAGCGAGCCTTTATACAATTATAAAAGTATATTTCTGTGCATTTTAACTTGAGGATGTATCAGTTTTTCTTTGATGATTTTTTTCCTGTGGAGAATGAAGCTGCTTTTACAAAGACCAAGGTTAGACTGGCAGATATGATGTCACATTTGGAGCTAGCACAGACACAGCTTGAGTTATTGGCACTATTGTGAAAAAATAAAGGTTATTTAGGATACAGAACAATGCCGCGAGCCCTTGACATTTGAGCATTTTTCTAGTGAGTTTTGCCCTTTTCATTCTGCATTCTGCAGCTGTAACTGATGTAAAGTCATGAGACTTTTCATGTGGGGAAAAAAATGGCAAGACGAGTTTCTTCATCATTACAGCAGTTAAGAAAAACATTATTTCTTTGAAATTTTAGTTGAAATCCAAAGACATTTTAGGCTGATAACATTTCTCATTACATTTTATCTAAATGAGAAAGAAGGTCCTAAGACAATATTTCATGCCCTAATATACTTTCTCACACAGTTTTAGAAGTTGGCTTTTCATTTGCCATCCTTAGATCTTCATGATAGCAGCTCACCTGTTAAATCCCTAAATATCATAATAAATACTCATACTTATTTTCTTTGCTGTTTGTAAAGAAATACCTTGCAAGGCCACATTTTCCTTTATCTGTTCAGTTTCCAAGTTTTCATCACACACCATGATCAAGTTTGTTTATTATCCATACTGGCACACTGATGCTCTTGTTTTTCCCAGTGATTTTCTTCTTGAGGTACACGTTTGCCAAGTCCCCTAAATTTTCTCTCCCTTTGAAAAAATATTACATAAATATTAGAATCCTTGGGGGCTCAGTTCTGATACGATCTAGATGAAGATGAGCCTGATGGAATGTGCTGTGGTGTATGCCTTTCCTGCACAGAAGCAGCAGTTTTGGCAGATGAGATTACCTTTTAGCAGGTAGCTGAGATGACAGTTCTCTAACCTGGCTACGAGAGGTAGTGGACAGGTTTCCTGCCTGGGCCAGAGCATGAGCTGTGTGGGCAAAAATATCTGTGCTCCTTCCCACTTGGGCTGGTACAGAGGAGTGCTGAAATCCCCCAGCTGTTTTACTGTCCTTGGGATGATGTGCCTGTCTTCTGGAGTATGGGTGTAGAGTGTTTGTTAGGAATGGAGAGAACATAATAGAACCCACTTTCAAAACTTATTTATGAATGTTAAATTGTTTCTTTTACTTGAATTCATTTGCTGCTTAAAATGCTTGACACCCATAATGCAGTCCTGATGTACGTGTCTTATATGATAATACCATTCAGATGTGAATGGTATTGAACTGGGAACTAAGTATTTTAAATTAGATCCTTATCCTTAAGGATTTTAGCTTCTAAAGTATTTGAAATAAATAAAATTATGCATTAAATTTTAAATTATAAATGTGATTTTTTTACTTAGCTCAAAACCTGTTATATTTATATGTTATATTTATGTAAAGGTCTCTACATAAGTCTCTATTTATGTTATGTGTAAAGTATACACATAACATTTATTACAGTCACTAAAAATTCTTATTCCAAATGAGAGTCAATTCTGCAAATCATTATTTTTATTTATAGTCTTTTAAGAATATTTTCTTTTCAATGAGTGACATAGTTGAATTAGTCACCAGAAAATCAAAGCAGTCAACAAAAATCAATCCTTTCACTTTGATTGAGTCTTTCAAGTATTTTACTCTTCACTCTGCTTTCATTCATGAGGAATGCTTCAAAGCCGATTGTAGTCTTCTCCATAGCTTCTTAGTAACTTTTTTCTAAGTAATGTTTCTCAGGTGTTAAAAGTTTATCAGTTTTCTTCTCAAGACTAAGACAACAGGCATTTTTTTTTAATTCACTCATGAATAGCTAGACATTGCCAGTGTCAAGAACCTTCCTGAAATAAGTCAAAGAGAACTTTCCTACTGATTAGGTGAGGTATGAGGTGAGGTCTTTAAGGTCTGCTAGATACTGAATTTTCCGGAGAAGCTGCAGTGGAGTGTGGTGAGTTAAGGCCCTAATTCTAGTGTCTTATGCTCCTTTAGTGATAGCTCTCTAGTGCCTCAATAATTGTAGCAGAAGGTCAACCAGGTAAAAAAAAAAGGAAACCTTCATGTCTTGTGTGACTACTTGGATCTACCTGCTGTAATATACTTGCTGTATTGATTTAAGACTTACTTAACGATCCCTCCTTCAGCCATTCAGATACCAAAATTTTTTAAAAAGTCATTTTGACAGGAAAATTATTGAAAATAAAAATTGAAAATATCACAGATTATTAGATTAATTTTAAAAATCTGAAAAGTATATATTTTCAGGTAACTCTACAGAAAATATTTTTATAACTGGTTGCTTTCCATGGGCAGTCCTGTATCCTACAGAAACTTAGAACACAATCTACTGTTGAATCATAGGTAAAATACATCAAATATTTTATTTACTTGAGACACCAATGCTGTTTTCCATACAAAGAGTTGTGTAAATGAGAAAATTTTTGAAGTACCATTTCAATAATACCAAATTATTTTTCTATAGTTAATTTTTAGTAACTGTTAAAAATTGTGAATGGTTCTCCTGTTCCTATTCATGTGCATTTAAGACATGGTGGACTTGCAATTAATGTTGACTGTATTCTTTTCTTCCCTTGCCCTGCATTTTGATAGTTTCAAAGACAGCATGGAAAAATCATCTTATTCTGACTGGCTAATCAACAACAGCATTGCTGAACTCGTCGCTTCCACAGGTCTCCCAGTGAACATCAGTGATGCCTATCAGGATCCTCGCTTTGATGCTGAGGTAAGAGATTTTTACAAATGTAATTATATATTAATTTTGAGCATCGTGACTAAATAAAAATTTTGGTTTGACAGCCAAGTGGCTGTGAGAAATGTGAATATTTATTTTGAACTATTTTTTATGTCCAGTAAGTTGTCCTTCTGGTCTTCTATGGTTTTATACCATATGCCAACACAGATCACTGAATTAGTCTATGACTTTAAGTTATTTGTCCATTATTCTTTCTTTTTTTTTCCTATTTATAAGTGATTCCCTTACCAATTGCCTTGATATTTATGCAAATTGATTTTTATTGCTGAAAATTTGTTGGTGATCAGCGTTAGCGGCACCAGTGTTGTTAGCTGTTGGGGTGGCTGCGGCTGAACACAGACAGAATGTGAACAGAACTGGTATCCAGACAGACAAATGTTGTTTGTGATCTAACTTAGCAAACCAACCGTTTAATTTGCTGAAATACACACTGGATTGGGTACTTCTTCAAGATACATATCACTCCCAATAATAGTTGTTTGTGTATCTTAAGGTATTCATTTCCTGTTAGAAAGGTGTAGCTACAGATAAAAATGTAAGTATACTCAACATCTAAATGAATGTTAGAGGTGTATGGAAGGACAAAATCTTCACTGAATTCTAATCCAGAATTACTATGGAGGATTTGGCCAGCAGTCGGACAGCAAATTAATCACAGCCTTGGTCAGAAAGCTTCCTAAAATATATTACTACAGTAAGTATTCTTGGAAGTGTTTCATGTTGAGAATTTGCTTGGTTCCAATTTTATTCCATATGTCATTAAAGGGATTATTTCTGAAACCAGCAGATTTTTTTGAAACAAGAAAAAATAAAAGGGGCCTGCTATAGAAGCATAAAAGGAAACTGAATTGATGTTAATCTGTTCAGAATTCCAGGAAGTACAATTAATGCCTGGGGTGTTTAGATATGCTAACTTAAAGCCTGCTAGTCCTTGATGTTTGCAACTGTACTTGTATTATATAATCTCCTGAATAATTCAGTTTTCTCTTCTTTCTTTCACAGTTAGTTCTTTCCAAGTTGGAGGCACTACACAATATATAAGGAAAATTATACAAAGGGCAATAATAATTTTCTTTTGATGGGTTCTTATGAAAATTTAATTCTTAAATTCAGTTTTTCTACTCAATTATTTCTACAATCAAGAGTAGTAAGAGGAACATAGTATCCCTTATTACTTAGATAGAATCAAACATACATTTATAATTATGAGCAGAGATTCTGTTCTCTGCTTCTGTTGAAAATCATCTTTATTTTTTTTCTTAGAACACTACTTCTCATCTGCAAATGTTGATGATCAATTTTCAACTCATTCATCAAGATTTTAATGCAAAAGTATTTTGCAGTTCATTTTAAGACGTACGTTTGAATCAATTATTGCCCCATTTACCTGGTTTTTAGGTGGCACTCCACACTGGTTTCAGTGATGAGTTCTGAGTATGTATAAATAGACAGTAATCTATTTAAAACCTGATTTATGTCTTTTGCTAGCTAGATCACAGTGATCCCTTCCTGCTTCCCATATATGAATTATTGCTGGTCATTTAGTTTTCTTCTATTAAAGATTGCCTGTAGCAGTGGTAGTTCTAGAAAGAGAACCTCTCCTGATCGTCTGTGAGTGGACTCATTCCACTCTCTTAATCTCTTTTGAAGAACTGTTTTCATTAGATTTTGCAGCAGTGACACTAAAGAATAAAGCTTATTAATTGTAGAAAAGAGAGAATCAGTGACACTTAAAATAAATTGTGAATCTGTATACTGTATTAGCTAGAAAACAATAAATGAGGCAGTTAATTGTCATTGGAACAAAAGGACCAGTTATCTCAAATCTAGGATTTGGCTCCATCCTTACATTTCATACTAACTTGCATTTCTGCACAATTGCCTACTTTCTCTCGCCTTTTTTCTGAAAATATGTATTTCCTGTAAGCCTCCTTCTACAGCTGCCACGCTAACAAATTGTCTCACAATTGGGAAGGCTACTTCTAACTTGTTCAGTGAAAAGTTACCCCTCCTAATCCACCAGTCTAAGAATCCAAAATTTGTCTGGACATCACCTCAATTATAGTTTGTCTTTAGAGTCAAATAGTGGAAGCTTAATGTGGCAAAGATGCCAATGTTTGTATATTCTTTGGCAATTTTTGGAATAATCCATATGACTTTTGGTTATTCTGGAGGAAGTTTCAGCAGATTTTTTTTCTGAGAGCTGATAGATATGAAATGACAACTTTAACGTAAACTTAGTCCTTGACATTTCTATTACTATGATTTAAAAGGCTGAAAATGGCACCACTAATGGAAGCTCTCATTTCTACATTTTAGGCTGACCAAATTTCTGGCTTTCACATAAGATCTGTTCTGTGTGTTCCTATATGGAACAGCACCCACCAAATAATTGGTAAGACTTCCCTCATGGCTGCCTAATTTTTGTGCTACTGTAAATTTAGTTCTATCTTTTTAATTCCGTGTTCCTCTTTCTTTGTATTCCCGGCTGAGTATTGTTAAGATGTTACAGTACCTAGGATGCATGCTACATATCCAAGAAGGGATGTTTTGACTTGGATACTGTGTGGACAATATATAACCTAACTTTCCAGCTGTGTCGTTAAGTTATATATTGTACTGAACTTTAATGCAATAAAAACAGAAATTCTAACCATATTAGTGAAAAATGTTTTATATGCACTGATGTTTTCCTTGGGTCTCCATCTTTAGTACATGGGCAACTGCATGCAGTCAAGCTAAGGGTTCATTTCCCTCCAACGATGAACTCTGGGTGCAATCAGGGAAGATTTGCTGGAGGGGCTGTGGCAGTGGTCAGAGTTGCCTGTTGCAGTGGTGGATCAGGATGTGACAATTTCAGGAGATCTTTCATAGGATTGTTTGCATCTATGCTACACCAGCAGTTGGCCCTGTGCTATTACCTGCTTTTGGCACAAAAAGGAGTGCTTGTAAATAACAGCGCCAGATTCCTCTGCTAACGTTCCTCAGAAGAACTGACGTCAAAGCAATATCAATTTATACTGGCAGGGCAAGAGTTAGATCCCTGTGCATTGTGGCTCTCAGCCAGGGAGAGGAGATGGGAGGTGCATTACTGAAGGCACTTGGTGCCATGCAGGGTCTTTGAGCTTCTTTAGCAGAGGTGATGTGGGAGCTGAGTGTTTTAAAAATACATCTTGTTGTTTGTTGTGAACTCCGTCTTATCTTCAAGAATGAGAAATAATCTGAACTCTTGACAGCAGATTACTCTTACAAGTATTTTTCTAAGATCTTATTGCAGATAAATGAAATAGAAATGTTTGTTCCAGTAAAATTAGTTTGGAAAATACATTTTTTCATTGGCTCAGTAAATTAATGAACCAGTCATGAGTAAAAAACGGTTTATATACCCAGATGATACTAAACTAAGATTTTAGGAATGAAGGTACCGATTCAGTAAATTGTATTGGAAACTCCAAATTTTTAGGACAACTTATGTGATTGCTGTTAGCAAGGTGATCAAGATCTTTCTCAAATAGATCTTTAGATCTCAAATAGATAATTTTTGTGAAAAGCACTGTGAGTAACTTTTCGATTTGCAGTATTATACTTAGATAGTAAAGAATAGCAGCTGAAAGTATCAAAACAATCAAATTTTTGCACATCTGCGTCCAATTATTTTCAGTTTGAAATATGTGGTTTACATTTTACCAATGAATAAAACATTCTGCATTGTGCATTAATGAATGAAGATTATAATTCATATTAACTCTTTTTAAAGGGGTAGCTCAAGTGTTGAACAGGCTTGATGGGAAATCCTTTGATGATGCTGACCAGCGACTGTTTGAAGTAAGAGGCATTCAGTTCACTATTAACATACTTTTTCAGTAGCATTTGGTATTTCTCAGTAATCTGCTTCAGTCCACTCCAGGGATGGGGGGAGAATATCTTGTCTATATTCGTGGTTTGACATTAATTCTCAGAAATCCTCACTTAGAAGGTGACATCCTAATTAAAACAAGATTCTGGCATCTAATCTCTCATCTGGAGGCCAGTGACTCACCTGCATTCTTAAAATAACCTGTTCAAACATGATTATTCCTAATATTCCCATGCAATTTCTTTTCATGATTAAGCCAGTGTTTATCTTTGTGCTTGTATTGTAACTGATTCACAATTGACTCTCTTTTGTCTCTTTTTAAATTATAGGCTTTTGTTATTTTTTGTGGCCTGGGTATCAACAACACAATTATGTATGACCAAGTGAAGAAATCCTGGGCAAAACAGTCTGTGGCTCTTGACGTATGTGTACATCTTTGTGAAACCTTTTCTTGCTCCTAACTGTTACATGTAAAGAAGCTCACTATATTTTTAAAAACTATGATTATTTAAACTTCTCTAACCAAATTCAACAATATAGCACTGTGGTCTATATATCGGGAGATTTTAAACATTATCATATTAAAAATCATCTTGGTGAGAAAAAAGCCTGGAGTTTTGAGGATAGCTTTACAAATTCACATTATTCCTACTACAACAATAATTAAGAACAGTTTGAATGAAATTTCAGATCTTTTGAAAAAAGCATTATTCAAGACTGATTAATCTTAAAACATCGCTCTGAGGAAAGGGTAACATCACTAAGATATTGGTATTGTTTTAAATTTCACATGTGATAAGAGAAGAAAATCATCTAGCTCTCCCTGATGTGTGCACCTTTTACCTATGTAATTCCGTTGAGTTTCTCCAGTACTCACCATTGCAGTAAGATCCACAAAAATAATATTGGCCTGAATGAAATATGAAATTCTTTCTATTAAAAGAAAAATCAAACCTAACTGTATTACTATAAAGAGGCTTTTTTTTCACTTTGCTTTAAGGCTTGAGATATTAATCTTCATAGTGGGGTTGCATCCTGTGCTGCACACAGACCTATTAAAACTTTCCAAAGTCAGTAAGATCGTTGGTGTTAGAAATCCTAAACATAATTGGCTTTCTTTATTTGTATATATCTACCCATGTAGGAGGAAAAGTTAAAAGCTTAGCTTACCTTTTCAGGCCTCCTGCAAGATCCTTATACTTTACATGCCATAGTCATGAATAAGTCTTCATATGTCCCACGTATCTGTGCAATATGACACCTGAGAATGAGTGCTCCTCCTGGCAAGAAAAGCAAGCAGTGCTAGATGTCACACACAGATATACAGGGATGAAACTTCACATAGAAGTTTATTTGCCACTGAAATAAAAGAAAATTAATTTTTTTTTGTTTAAAATACAACTTCTTTCTTTGATCTAAAAAATACTAATAACCATATAGCTTATATGTGTAGAGTTGATAAATAGCCATTAATCTGCAATTAAAAGTAATTCTTTCTATAAGTGGGCAACAGCTCTTGATAATATTTGCATAAAATTATAGAAGATGCAGGAGAAAAGTATTGAACACTAGAATGGTATGAGATGAAGGACTGCGGATTTTCACTAATAGAATACTTCATTAGTACTTATGTATTTAGTTATAATGGCAATGAATGGCACTTGAAAATTACATTGATATCAGATGTAAAATAAACGAAATTGTTATATATCACAATAAGATTCTTGTCTGTATATAGTTTTCATATAGTATTCTGATAAGATTGACTACTAAATAGAAGAGCAAAACATAAATAAATTATCAGGAAAGTTTGCCATGATTCAAAGCCAGGCTAAATACTTTTTTTATACTAAGGACACAAAATTTGCAAATTATTTAAAGATTAGAGTAATAAATACTAAGGAAGACTTAAAAACTAGAAGGTTATAATGAATACAGATCAAGGAGAATTTTGCTGTTAAATGTAATCTGTCATAGCATAAGATATAATCTGACTCATTTTACCAGTTTCTGAGAGAAGTTGCAGTATGGTTGGATAGAAAAATAGATACTGTTTGAGAAAGGACATGATGTATTATCATACAAAGTAAAATGGGGTACAGAACCAATGAGTTTATGTTTTTTATTTATTCTTGTACAGTGCAGGAATGAATTACTGTTACTGTAAAAGGTGACATCTCTAAAACTGATATGTCTTGGGACTTAACCACAAGGTGTTGCAAATCAAAGCCCTGTGAGACAGTTTAGGTGTTTGTATGAATAACAGAGCCATTAATGGATGAAAATGATTTCCAAGTGAGAAGCCTGTATCATAGCTTTAGCACACCAGAAGGTCAGGTGTTGCAGAGAGGGGAAGGACCTGTCCCAGCTGGGAGTGCTGGGAAAGCTCTGGCTCTGGGAGCTGCCTCATGGACCAGCACAGCTCGCCCCATGCACAGCCAGAGCCCCCCATGGTGGGCCCAGAACACAGGATGGCTCTGGCATCTTCTGCAGCGCTTGCTCAGTGTTAGTATCAACCCACGAGGATACAATGTACTACATATTAATGGCTGCATACCAAGAGGCAATAAGAGCATGTGTGCAGTACTTTGTACATTTTATTTGATGCTGCTCTCTGCAGAATGGTATTGAAGAGAATGTCAGACACAGCACAGAGGTGCTGATATTTGGATGCAGTCATGTGACACTAGTATAGGCATTAAAGCTTTTCAGTATAGCAAAAGGCATTATTAAAAGTCCATAAATCTACTGTTACTTTTACATTAAATTCTTTCTCTTTTGATTGTAGAACTTCAGGAGAACAATGTAGGAATCCTTATAACATTAAATTACTTACTGTTCATTATTTCCTATAAAATTCCTTGCAGTATAACTGTCAAATATATGCCTGATAACCTGTAATTAGCTATGACATGCTGTCAATCAGAACAGAATTATCACACAAACACTAATAAAATTTGCTTTAAACATAACTGATTAGACTGCAGTACAGAACCCTGATATTGCTACTTGACAAATGTACAAAACTGGTTTTTATGTTTTGTTCTGGGGCAGGTGTTGTCTTATCATGCAACATGTTCGAAGGCAGAAGTGGATAAATTCAAGGTAAGATTTAAGTTTTTAATGTACTGATTTCTGGAACTATAACTGTAAATTAATATTTGTCTAGATTGTCTGAGAGAAATTTTACATCATAAGCAGAAAATCTGAATTAAAGATTATTTACAGTGGATATATTACATGTAAGGCTGTTAAGCAGGGAAGGTGGAACATTTCTTTCAGAGCTGCAGTGGTGGGTGCACAGCAGCAAAGTCCCATTGTCCCAGCACCAGCTACTGGAACTGCATGTAGTGTGGGTTTGGTGGCCTTCTCAGCAGGAACCATCACAGGGAAGTCATACCACGTAGAACATGAGAGAGAGAGACTAGAGAAAAAGAAAAGAACTCAAGACTTTACATGCATAAGCTATAAAGCTTGGAAGCTGCTCTGTGTTTACTAAAAAAGTGGAGCATTCTCTATCCAGGCTGTGCATAGGCTCAGAAGGCTGGATGGGAAGGTGAGAGATAACTCAGATAACTCCTGTAAGCGCCCTTGACAGAATGTGAAAGTGATGTGCTCTGAGTGTAGCATTAGTAGGGACCAATAATTACATGTTCTCACTGAATGCTGCCTTGCCATGGGCTGGAAAGTGGGTGGAACAGTGCCCTTGATTTTCATCACTGCCAGCACTCCAGTGCTGCTTTTGTGATAGACTGTTTGTCTTTTCCTGCTTGAAGAGGCGCTTGGGAAATTTGGTGATGCTTCCCTTGGCTATGAGGAGGCAATGCTGGTAGAGAGCTCCTTAAAGCTGTTTGGGAGGCTCCCATGATGGGTATCACTGCTGGTCTCCTGGACACACTGCATCAGAGACTGTAGTGAGGTCTGGGAAGGAGATCTGGACTGTTGCGGCTCCACATTGCTGGCACTCCCTGCTCTGGAGCTCTGGCATCTGTCTAGCTGAAAATCAACTGTTGGGTGGTTATTTTGACACTTGGCTGTCAGGCTGCAACCTGCTTTCTGCACCACGGGGATGCCTGTGGTGAAAGGGGGAACACATGGCTGGCATAGAGCTGATCCTGCTGAGTGATCTGGGCTGAGGAAGGGCACCTCTTGCTAGTTAATGAGTTTGTAGATTATTGTCTGTGCCTGGTATCTGTATCGATACCTGGTGATAAGGGTGTAATATTCTCCCTCCACTGTAGTTACTGGTATGATTACCTCACTTATGTATGAAGAAGATGAGATTACTGAAGTATTGCTGGAATCAGCATGCTTAAAGATCATCCAACACTACAGGAAGTACTTCTGCATGTGCAGTAAATTGTATTCAGTGTTTGGCAAAAAGAACTGAACACTATTGAGAAAGAGGAAAGAAAGGGGTAAAGGACCATCAACTTTCTGTTTTATTTTTGTATTTCCATTTACCTTAAAACTACACATCTGTAATATAGTTTCTATAACTCTCAGGAGTCCACCAGCATCTTTGTATGTCCAAGAGGGCCATACTTGATTGCTGTCAGCCATTGAAAGACAGCTCTCCTTCATAGCCTCTGTACTTGAAATAACAGCCTGCTATGTTACTCTTTGGACTCAGATGCTCATGTGATGAGAAGCTATTTTACTTTTTTTCCCAGGTGACTTCATTAATAGATAGACCAGTCTCCAAGTAAGAAATGTCTTTTTGTTATCCATTTACCTTGAAGGCATGCAACTATCCATTTAATAGCTAATAATAAGGTAAAAGGAAATGAAAAGCATTTATTCATTAATAACTCCAGAAGATACAATTCCAAAATACACGTGTTTTATAAAGAACATAGATGAGAAAATAAGGAACATAACCAAGCTATGGCTAAAGTAAGTTAGGCTATTTTTTAGAAAAATTGTCCATTTTCTATGTCTATATATGTGGCAGCACATTTCTCCCTCTCTCAGGATTTTTCATAGAGGTGCACAGAGAGAAATGAAAGAGAAAACAATTTCTACTTCTGTTCCTTGTTTTTCCTATGTGGAATGTGTTTGGAGAATTGTTTACCTGGAGTACGGGCTTGATTGGCTTCTGGTGAGGATTGTTTGAGCCTGATGGCCAATCCAATCCACCTGTGCCTGGATGAGAGCGAGAGTGTAGTATGTGGTTTTAGTATCTTCCTTGATATAGTATATTAATGTATTTTAGCATAGTTATAATAAAGAAATCATTCAGCCTTCTGAATTGAGTCAGACATCATCATTTCTTCCCATTGGGTTCGCCTGTATTTACAACATACATCCAGTTGTCTCACTTTCAATTCCTGACAAAATTACTCTGAAATAGTTTTTTAAATGCTTTTGCACCACTGTATGTAACCAAAACGAAAGAACAAAAACCCAGAGACAACCAACCAGCATGTCTTGTGGGCCTGTGACACAGAGCTCATCCCAGAGAGGGCCATCCATCTGTGGGATGAAATTGCTCCCATCCCCCTGCTTACAGCCAGCCTCTCTGCTGAGGTCTCCCAAGGCATCCTACCCTGAAATCATTGCTCTTTTCCCTGTTTGTTATATCGTTATATTTTGTATAAGCCCTTTGTTATATTAGGATCATCTTCTAGACTTGACTGGCTAATAAACCATCCCTCCCTCTGGGGGTGTTTGGGCTAAATGTGTCCCCTCTCTCGGTGGTGATTTATTGGCAGATGTCAGAGCAAATGTCTGTTACGATTGACCCGATGTCCTGGTTCAGTCAGAGCAGAGACACAGACACGACAGAAACATCTAAATGAGAGTGATGCCAGGAGATCACTATTGGCTCCCGACTGACACAGCACCCAGAAGTAATTAATGACTTTGGAGTGACAATATATTTGAGTTGACAACTTCTCAACATATTATCCCAAACATACTGTAACTGGACCACAGGATCTTGGAAATAATTACATACTCTTGTAGTACAAGATTTTTTTCCCCTCTTTGTAAGTTTTTATAAAATGTTTTTCCATTAATATTTATTTGCTCAGGATCTCAAGGATATTATGATAAAAAGTGAAAAATTGCAAGTGTACTTAAAATTTCTTTTTCCACTGGCTTTTACCAATGAAGTATTTTATTTTATTTTATTTTATTTTATTTTATTTTATTTTATTTTATTTTATTTTATTTTATTTTATTTTATTTTATTTTATTTTATTTTATTTTATTTTATTTTATAGAAAGCCCAGCAAGAGGAGCTAAAGTGGATTTTTTTTAACTTGAAATTTCATCAGTAATTTCTTACTATTATTGGATGAATTCACAAACACATAAATTCACAAATATACCCATCTTTTTAATAATTAAGCATAATCACTGTGACCAGGTTCTGTAAAATAAATAACATTTATTTTTGTTTCTTGTAATTCCATCTAAGAATTAATGAAGAAAACCCCACCTTAATAAGAAACCCTTAAGATATTAAACCTTTTCCAGATGTTTATCTGGGAAAAAGTGCAAAGCACTATTGCTGGAGGAGCTGGAAAAATACAGAGGGAAATTCTCAGTATGAAACAATAAAACATGAGTGTATGGATATGGACCATGTCATACAATTGGATACTAAATATTTTTAGATTTTTTTCTAATTTTCAGGTTTAGATTATGATGGCTTCAAAAAACATTTAAATTAAATATACTGTTAAATTCACACAAACTGCATAATATTTTTTTGGGTTTTCTGATATATGCCGCATTACTGTGATAGGTAGATTTCTGATACCATTCTTCCAGGTACAGGAAGAAAAACCAAACTTTACTTTTCATGGGCATTTGCAAGTAAAACAAAATAAACATCACCTTGAGTGCAAATTTTTCTGAGAATATCTGAAGTCTTCAGCATGATTTACCACAATACTTCTCCTCTCTTTCATCTACATAACTATGCTAAATACAAACTTAATTTTGGCAGGGTAAGCTAAAGCAATGCACCATTGAATCATATCAATATCAATATTATTTTCAAGAAATCAGAAATCGCTATGATTTTAAAAGCTGTGACAACTTAGTTCTCCCTTGTATTTTAGACCTAAAAGACTATTCTGTCATTTCTGTTGCGTACTAGTGCTATGAACATTTGTGTCATTGGAATAGATAAGGCACTTGAGATCTGATTAATCTGAGATTGAAGCTGTCCTATGCATCCTATAGCAAACCTGTGCCAGGTTTGCTCTTACTGAAATTCAGGTCCTGCAAGCCTAAATATAGTTCTGTGTTAGACAAATATAGATACATGAGTAAAGAACGCAGAATTGTGTTCAGGGCAGGACATTTATAGCAAGAGTTACTGATTTATGAGACAGTAATGAACAAATCCTGTGACTTAGCAAGCAGCCCCACAAACACATATCACCTTTAAATTTCACCAGTGTAGTTTCCAAAGAGAATATGTAAACGCTGTCCTATTATGGGAAATGTACAAGAAGCTATTTTTAAGAAGCAAGCCTAATTGCGCAGCTGTCAATGGCATAAGCCAGATCAATATTTAATGACTGTGATGCATTATTTATAGCCCTGGGAGAGATTCCCTTTTTTAGGTCAAATAGCACACAGGAGAGATACACAATGGAAAATAACGTATCACCTGCTTTACAGAATCTTTAATTCAAAATGTGGCATGAATAAAAATTTCTGCATTTCTCAGTTTTGTAGCCTGAGGTGTGGCTATTTAAGATCTACTTCCACATAGGGAGGCTTTTGTGTGTTTCTTAAAAACACTCCTTTAACTACAGAATGATGAAAAGAGCCGAACCAAAAAAAAAAAAGAAACAACTTTTAAGACTGCTTCTGTATGTGACAATGTAAATGGTTGAATCAATGAAAGATGATGGATCTATGTGAATTTGATACTTGGAGGGAGTATGTATGATTTAACTTCTGTTATTCATGCCTTATGCACCCTTAAATATATAACAATGGGCAGCACAATGAGAACAAATGAAATTTTTGTACTGGTTTTAATTTCAATATTTGAAACAATAGGGAAAGCATTCCTTGGCTATGTTATTTTCTGCTGTGATGTCATCTTTCAATTTAGAACTACTTTAATTACTCTTATA